GGGCGCCGGCCGCGGGGCTGCGCGCGGGGGGCGAGCGGCGGCCGCGATGTTCAGCTGGCTGGGCTCCGATGACCGCCGGCGGAAGGACCCCGAGGTCTTCCAGACGGTGAGCGAGGGGCTCAAGAAACTCTACAAGACCAAGCTGCTGCCCCTGGAAGAGCATTACCGCTTCCACGAGTTTCACTCGCCTGCCCTGGAGGATGCCGATTTTGACAACAAGCCCATGGTCCTGCTGGTGGGCCAGTACTCCACTGGGAAGACCACCTTCATCAGGTGAGCCGGCCCCGGGGCCCTGGCAGCCCACCCCGCCGCCCAGCGCCTACGGCCTCCGTTCACTCCCGGGGGCCCCTCCTGCCTGGGGACAAGCGGGAAGCCTTCCGTGGAGGGCGCTGAAGACATTCTGTTGTGTGTGTGTCCAAAGCTTACCTCCCCCCACCCCTCATTTCACTGCTGGTCCCCCACCCCTTCCTACCTAGTGCCTCGCTGCTGGACTTAGCCCTTGGCTCCAGAGGTCGGCTTGAAGAAGTTCAGGGCCATCCGTATTCTCCCCATTTTGTGGATGATGAAACTGAGGCCCAGGAGCCCCAGTGAGAAAACTCCTGGTCACAAGAGCACCTTATGCTGGTTGGGGGTGCCTCACACCCTCACTTTTTAGGGGCAAGCCCTTCATGGCCAGGACCACCTCCCTTGCCTTCTTAAGGGCTCAGCCACTCACGTGGGGGTTTTGCAGCTGAGGAGGTGGGCTGGGGACTCTGTGGCCCCTGCTGGGGCAGTGCCACTGGTCCTTCTTTTTATCAGTTTCCTTCTCCGAGCAGAGTTCCTACATAGATCTCTTGGAGACTGGACAGAAGCAGTGTCAGAAGCATAATGTTTTTTTCTTTTCCCTTGTTTGATCTTAATGGCTCAGTAATAACATTAACGTCTTTTAGAGGTGCAAGGGACATGGGCGGGTGGGTCTCATCCAGCCCCTTGACTTGGCAGGTGTAGAGGGGTTAAATGACCGTCCAAAGCCGTGTAACTGAGTAGGAGGCCCACCTGGGATGCTGAGGTGCATGGGAGGAGATGCTTGGCTAAATGCCCGTGGCGCTGAGAGTGAGTCATCTATTCCCTTGAATTACAGAATCCTAGGGCCAGAGGGAAACTCAAGGAGTCAGCTTGTCCACCCTGCACTCAGAGAGGTCTGTACATTGTCCACCAGAGTGACGACCATCTTTCCTATCTTTCCAGGACAGGCCTCTCTCCAGTCCTCAGTCCACACAACCCCCAAGGCCAGGCGGTTTCCTTTGGCCTCATTTACAGTCATTGCCAAGCTGTTGCAGGTGCTTTGTGGCCCTCTGTTGAGTCAGACTCCTGTAGTGTGGCCACGGGGGCAGCGGCCCCCAAAATCAGTGGTGCTCATCTCCTGCAGGAGGCTTCAAAGCAGGGTGCTCTTGTTTCCATTCAGATCAAATCTTGTTTCCATTCCAGTTAACTGAGCACCTGCAACATGCAAAGCACTGTGCTTTGTTCGGCAAGGAGAGCAGAAAAGTTAACAGTCTGGTTACTAATTTTCTAGATACTAATTTTCTCTGACACCAAGCTTGTACCCAAGCATTCTGGGAGCAGGGCTTGCACCATGCTAACACGTCATGTCTGAACAGAACACCAGATCGGCGTTGCCTTTGTGGGGTGGACAGCCTTGGGCTCAGCGGCTTTGAGGGGCTGAGTGATTTCTAAAGAAGTTAGGTTCCGGGGGTGGGGGGTGGGAAGCTACCGGCTTTGGATATCTTATGTTGTTAGAAAGACAAGGGCTCTTAGCAATGGATCTGATCCATTGCTTTCTTAACTTTTTAAAAGGTTAATATATCCTTTGAAAATCTGTCGAAAGCTGTGGCCCTATCTTTAGGAAAATGCACATCCATGTACACAAAAATGCACAAATTGACATAGAATCTCAGAGCGAGAACCCCTGATCGAATCCATTTCCCTTGGTTCATGAAGCAGCCTTTGCTGCCAAAGGCACTTCCGGAGCTCCCTAGGTTCTGTACCAGGTTTCCTTTGTAATCCCTGTCCTCCAGCTGGCCTGGTTTGTGCCCCACGGGAAGCGCAGGCCTTTCACAGATGGCTCATTGCCCTTGCAGCAGCCCTCCCTAGCCCTCTGGACACACCTGGGTTATAACTCCCAGGACATGATGTAGAGCTTCTCCTTCCGGTAGCACCAGATCTTACAACTGTGCCTTAGCTCCCTGGGGGCCTCGCCTGGGGTGGAAGCTCCTGGAGGCTCCCAGGAAATGTTTACAGAATGGGAGGGAAGATGGGGAAAGGCGAGTGTCTCCGGGAGGCAGGATCCTGGAGAGGCAGACTTAAGTACCTCTTGCCTGAGACACTCTCCTGGCTTTGCCTGAGTCATGCTGGCTGTTAACTGGGTCGAAGGGAGTGGCAGAGTTGAGTTGCCATAGATTTTTCCTTATCTGAGGGAGACAGGAAGGCGGGGAGAGGCAGATCCCTCGCTTTCTTACCCTCCAAGTACAAGGGTTCTCCCTCCCCACTCATGTAGTAACTGAATTTAGCTCCAGCATCAAAAGCCATCCCCCCCTCGAGGGAGAGTCCACCAGCAGGGTAGGAGGGGTTGGAGCATGGGGAAGTCCTCCAAAACCAAATTACATATATTCCTCCTTTTCATTAAACCCACTAAACAGCTATTTTTCCTCCCACTGGAAAATGTAGACAAGAATAAATTTGAGGAGGAAGAAAAAAAAAAAAAAATCACCCAAAAGCCCATGACTCAGGGGAAACCATTTTAAATATCATGTATATAGATAGATATAGATATTTATATATCTATCTTTCCAGTGTTTTTAGCTATTTTATAACACAATTGAGATCATGCCGTAATGTAATTCTGTGTGCTAATTTATTTCACTTAGAAAAGGAGCATTTTTTCCTGTAACTTTAAAAATCTTGGTAAGCATTATTTTTAAGAGCCGCATGATATTTCGCTGTATGTGTATGCAATTATTCATTAACCAGCCCACTTATTTTGGATGCTTTAGGTCATCTCTAATTTTTTGCTATTGCAGAATCACTCTGAATACCTCTATGCATATTTTTCCACACATTGGACTGTTTTCTCAGAGATTCCCAGAAGTGAAATCACTGGGCCAAAGGTTGTACCGTTTCATTGTGTTTTTAAATTTTTCTGCTTTTTCATTTGGATGTTAAGAATCCTATTTCTGAGTTGCTTTCCAAGAGAGTGAGTTGATGCAACACCCCTTCCCCAGAGCGAAGAAGGCCCCCCCTTGGGGTAGCCCAGAGTGCCCCCCGCCCTCTCCTGACCCTGCTGCTTGCTTTGAGCACAGTGATTCGTAGCAACTCCTGTCCCTGGACTAAACCTGTGAGGGACGTTTCCCTCGGAAACAAAGACCTGCCTCTTCATTTCCTGGCCCTTGGCCCTTTGCCTCCCGACTGCCCATCCACTTTCAGTTATAGGTACTTACCACAGCGTCTATTTCTCGTCTCAGGAAGAACATGCAGAAAGGGACATTCTTCTAATAACTAATTAATGTGCTCTGATCTCTGCCTGAAATAACTTCCCTGGCCTGAGGCCCGGCAACCCAGAGTAATAACACTAAACAATAAATTGGCCTGCTGGCTGCTGCCTCCACACAGACTGCCTCTTCGTGTACAGTAGCTCTGTGTCCCTCTAGCCCTGGCAGCCCTCCTCAGCCTCTGCTGTGTGCCCCCCTTCGTTCTTCCTCTCCCTGGCCCGCAGCCTCCCACCACCCCCTCCGTGCTCCCTTGCACACGTGGCCCCCTGGTCACCAAGGTGCATGGCGGGCGGTCCCAGAGCCCGGGACTGGCCCAAGCGCTCTGGTGGGCTGGGAGGGAGGCCCGGCCGCGGCAGAGCTCAAGTAGAGGACCAGGGGATGGAGTGTGCGGCCTGAGGCTGCCAGAGCGAAGCTGCCTGGGCCTCTACAGGGAGGTCTGGGCTGGTCGTGAGGACCTGAGGCCCTTCTACGATGGGACTCAGACTCTCAAGTATGAGCACGGGCTGAGGTGGGGGGGCTCCTCAGTGGGCCCCTGGACCTCCCACACTTCTCAGGGAGCTCTCTGTGTCCTCCCACGAAGGTGACTCAGCATTTAGCTGGGTTATGCCATCTTTCCTCACAACCCCGACGTCCCCACTGCCCAGGCCTCATCCCTGGCTTTACAGCATCTCACCATGTGAAAGATGATCCTCCAGAAAGCCAAAGGACTAGGGAAAGGGGCCACCGTTCCAGGTAGACCCCCTGACCTCTGCCGGGTCTGTCCTGCCAGCCACAGTCCCTGCAACATCTCACTCCTGTCCTCCCACTGTGGTCAGTGGACGCCCTTCTATCGGGGCTGTGTTCTACTGGTCCCTAAGTGGGGGTGGGTGGGACTCTGCCCACCTCTTACAAGACCTGAGTGTTACTCAAGGGAGCAGACAGCCCTAGGCCAGAGGAATGAGTCCACCTGCCTCAGGTCTGGCTTCAGATCTGCCTTGAACTTCCGGTGTCTGGAGGTCATCAGGAGAAGCATTTACTGGCAGGAGGGGACCTCTGGAGAAAGGCCTCCATCCCATTCCCATTGACAGTGGGGTAAGGCCATGGAAAGAACACAGCCTGGCTTAGCTGAATCCAGGCCCTCCAGTACTGGCCAAGAGACCTCGTCAGGAAGGCCTAACCTGTCCACACGCCAGCCTCCTCATCTCTGACGTGAGACTAGCAGCAACCACCTTGTAGGGTCTCTCTCCCGATTAGGAAGGGAAAGAACCAATGTAGCACCAATTACATTGCAGACACCGCGCTTGGGGCTTTATCCTTCACTCTCCTCTTTCTAGCTGATTCTCTAAGCAGAGGCTTAGAGGCTGGCCCTCAGGAGGGTGGGGGGAGCTCTTGTCCAGCTCCACCCACAGTTGGGGGAGGGAAAGGGGAGGGAAGTGAGGGAGTGGAGGATCTTGCCTCTACCTCCAAGGGCTGAAGAGGAGTGGGGAAGGGGACTGTGGGCGGTGCTGGGTCGGTCGTGGACTGGGCGGGCGGCCTGTCACAGGGTGGGCACAAGAAAGGGAGCCTAGTGGGCCACGGGGCTCCTCTGTGCTGAGGTCCCTTTGTCCCATGGCAGAGCTGATTCAGCCCGCAGCATGGCCATCAAGAGTCTCCCATCTCCTATGTCACTTTGTGATTATGAGGTGCTTTCCGGTGTCCCTAAAACCTCCTGAAACAAGTATTACCCAACAGAGTATTACTGTTTTTGTTTTTAAGATTTTATTTGAGAGAGAGAGAGAGAGAGAGAGCACGCATGTGCAGGAGCAGGGGGAGGGGCCGAGGGAGACGGTGAAGGAATCTCAAGCAGATTCCCCACTGAGCAGGGAGCTCAACATGGGCTCAATCCCAAGACCCTGAGATCATGACCTGAGCCGAAATCAAGAGTCAGACACTCAACCGACTGAGCCACCCAGACGCCCCAGTATTACTGTTTTGACCCTGTTTCAAAGCTAAGAACCCAAGGCTTGGAGAGACCAAAGATACAGGTATACAACACAAATACCTGTAACACAGAGCAGAAAGTGACCTGTGCATTTAGAGTCTAAAGATACGCAAAGTAAGAGCCACAGCCCGAGGTCTGGCCCAGCTGTTGTGGACATGGATACTTTGGAGGCAGACTGGGTTAAGATTCTTGGCTCCCTGCCTTTACCCTGGATGCTTAGGTCACCAGTAAAGCAGGCCACATGCCTAGATTGCCAGCCAAGCAGGACACACACAAAAAATGAGGGAAATGCTAGAAAATAATTTGCTTTAAAAGATGTGAAGAAAAATTGTCCTCATGGGAAAAATCAGAATCGCGTGGGACTTCCTGGCACCTCTCTTACAGTGTAGTATTTATTAATTTTGCATTGGATGGCCAGGGGGCGGCGGGGGAGCTGTACCAAAATCTTTTCCACTCCTAGCCCCTCTGAATATTGTTCTTTGGCCCCAGAGGGGGACCGCCTCTTTCTCAGTTCGCTCACCTGCAGCACGGAGTAAGGCCGCCATCCCACGGCACTTCCGGGGCCGATGAAGTGAGGGCATTCGGGGGAAGGTCCCTGAAGGACACCTTCCACACCACTGGTGCTCGGCCTGCCCGTCCCTCTGTATTCTTGTGTGGCCCCATCTCAGCCACTCCCACCCAGGCTTGAATTAACTTTTCTTTCTTTACACTGCTGTGGGAATGCTTTCGCCCGGAACAGAGGGAATCTGTATCACTGCCCATGGAGAAGCAGCCATGAGATCCCTCAATAGCTTTTTCCTTTCTGGACACAGTGGTGGCTTTGTTAAGGGGGCACTCGGTGCTGCAAGCCCTACCCAAATGTCCCTGAGAATTTACCCAGCCCTGGGTTCTCTGCCCAGCCCGACTGTGTCCCCGGACCTGCTGGTGGCTTCACTGGATTCTGTGTTTCTCCAGGCCCATGTGTGGTCAGCAAATTGGGGGTCACGTGGGTTTAGCTGAGAGAGCAGGACAGCAGGCCCAGCCGCCAGGCCCTTGCTTGGCCGCCTGAGGCTGTGGCTCTGGAACATCCTGGGAAGTGGCCCCTGTTGTGCTGGGAAGCGTCACCCTTTTTTCATCAGCTGGTACACCGCATCTCTCCTGGGGCTGGAATCTGAGGCGCCCATGTCTGGAAGATACTTCATCACAGCATTTGGCCCTCTGCAGGCTGGGCATTCCTGTGTGTCTCGAGCCTGTTTCTTTCCACCCGTCTGTGTGTCAGCTGTCCCCGGGGCTTTTGATGACATCCAGCACCCTGCTCCAGGCTCAGACTCACAACCGCCACATGCTCTGCTGGGAGGGCCCTGCTAAGGCTTCTCACCCAAGCACACGCGGGACAGGTGCCTCCCCTCCCCCCACCATCACAGGCAAGAATGCATGGGGCTTCCCGGGCAGAGCTGTGACTCTCATAAGGCAGCTTCAGGTTCCAAGAAGGGCCTTGGAGAGCCAGTGGGCCTGGACCTGCTCTGGTCACCCATAGCAACCACTTCTGGGTGCCGCATCCCACTCGTGGAGACTGAGCAGTGCACCCCAGCGGTGGGTGTTTATGGAGATGAATACATTCCTGCGTTTGTGGGCACCGAAGCCTAACTTTCCCCCAAGGCCTGGCCCCTGGCCAGCCTCCTGCCAAACCATACTCCTCCTCTGAGGCCTTCCTGTCCCACTCCTCCTTCTGGTCCCCTGTGGGGCTCAGCCCTTTCCCGTTTCCTGGTCCAGGGACCTAAGGCAGGAAAGGAGACTGTGCATGTAGTGGTTAGGAGCATGAATTCTCAAGTCTGAGTGCTGAGGTTCAAATCCTAGCTCTGCTCTTCACTGACTACATATCCTGGGGCACATTGTTTGCCCTCTGTCTCCTCCTTTTCACAATGACTGGGAATCTCGGTGCCAGTAGTTTAAGTGCTTAAGTTCTGTAGCTGACATGACCCTTGGAACACCCCATGAGGTGGGTTTTCTTATTAGACCCATTTGATGAGAAGAATCATAGTGCTCACATCCGAGATATGAAGATGAAATGAGATAATCCCTGGAAAGTCTAGAACGGCGTCTGGCACATCGCAGGTGCTTAATAAATCAGAACTGTAATCTCCCATGTCATGGAGGAAGGGGGTGAGTTTCCCTTCTGAAGGGCATATCCCTCATGGTTAGAGAAACAGGTCGCTGGCCCCGGGCTGCTGAGATTCCCTGCCTCGCCACTGGGGCCCTGAAGAAGGTGTGTTTGAGAAAGCCAGACATGCTGTCCAAGTGTGCACCTGTTGTCATTTATTCTCATCACAACCCAAGGGCCAGCTCTCAAAATGATCCTCTGATAGGAGAAGATCCTGCCCTCACACCTGGATTCTTGGGCCGTCTTGGAGGAAGATGAGGGGCTTCCCAGGGCAACTGAAAACCCTCCAGTGCGGCCAGGGGTGACCTCCTGGGTACTGGCTGTTTAACTTGGAGACAGCCACATAACCCTACTAAGCCTCAGTTCCCTCAGTACCTGCCTGTAGGGCCGATGTGAAACCCGAAGAAGATAATGTTCTCCTAGTGATCAGTGTGATGTCTGGCAGGTGGAAATGCTACTGAGTGTCAGTGGATGTATCAGTGAAATGGGAAGGTTGGTCTAGAGCAGGTTGTCAACCCGGGCTGCATCTTAGAATCAACAAGGGAGTTCCTAGAAAGGACCAGTGGCCAGGCATCCCCCCTCTCCCCCCAGTCAGCAGAGCAGGACCTCGGGGGTGGGGCCTGGGCACCATTAGCTGGAGCTGGACGGTAGCTCGAATGCACCACCAGGGCTGAGGACCACTGGTCCAGGAGGCTTCCACCTTCCTTCTCTTCATTCTTGGGCTCACCATGTTTGCTCTTGACTTCTAAAAGGGGCTGTGGAGAGGAGCAGGGGCCTTGGGCTCTCCCTTCCCAGACCTGGAGAAGAGCAGAAAGAGACACCTGCCACCTCCAGCCACAGCCTAGTCCTGACGCTAGAGGGCGAGACCAACAGTCTTAGATGGGATGGAGACCGACTTTTCACAGTGGGCCCTTCACACTGTATGATGTGGGAGGTGTTTTGATATTTTATATTAAATGACTGACTAACCAGATAAAGAAATATGGACCTATGGAAAGCCATCAGAGTCTATGGATGGTCTCATTCTGACCTTGACTTTGTGTAGGTACTTGAGCAAGGGACCTTCGTTGTAAAGTCCACTGTACTCTGCAGGATTCAGTCTCAACCCGTGCTTGTTGCTGAATCCAAATCCTGGTTCTCCCTGCCCTGCCCCAATTACTGATTTCAGGGAGGAAAAAGATAAAAACCAAGAAGCACAGATTAGATATTTTAAATTCAGCTAATATCCCACTTCCTCCACAGAGGTCTTTGGATTCCCCATCCGTGGAAATCTGTCCCTGCCATGAAATGTCATTGCTGTTCACCTGCCCTCTGCCATGACTCGCATCACCACCTGCCCATGGCAGAGGTCCGGCTTTGCTCTGCGAATGGAACCCCTGCCTGATGGCTGTGTCCCTTCCGCCAGGTACCTCCTGGAACAGGACTTCCCCGGCATGAGGATTGGGCCCGAGCCAACCACTGACTCCTTCATCGCTGTGATGCACGGACAGGTGGAGGGGATCATCCCTGGGAACGCGCTGGTGGTGGATCCTAAGAAGCCTTTCAGGAAGCTGAACGCCTTTGGCAATGCCTTCTTGAACAGGTGCGTGCTCCGAAAACACTCATCCTAAGCGTTCTCTTCTCTTCTTCTTGCAGTTTGAGAAGGAAGGGACGGCGTCTTGGGAGCCTCAGTGCCTTCTCCATAACCACTGTCTCTTGATTGTCCCTTTCTTGCTGGGAATGTAACTGAGTCAGTCACCACTGATTAGGGATGTAGGAATCTGGGCTAATTCCTCCTGATCATGAGCTGGGAAGGATACACCAGTTAAATCACATCCCCCTAATCTGCACCTCCCTCCAATAAAAGCAGAGAGGGCTGTACTGTGTCAGTCCCAGCTCTCTTGTATCCAGTTGACCGTTGAACAACACGGATGTGAACTGCGTGGGTCCATTTACATGCGAATTTTCCACTGTGCGGTGTAGGTTGGGGGGATGGACGCCCCTCACCCCTTATTGTTCGGGGGTCAACTGTACTACAGAGGGGATTTGCATCCAACTGGAAGGAGGTAGAGGAAAGTTCCTCTCTGTTCCTGGACATTGTCTTTACTGGATGGAAGGAACCCGGGGGTGAAGGCGGGAGCGCTGAGTGTGAGTATTGCCTCTCCTACTAAACTCACCGTGTGACTTGGACAGGTCACCTCTCCTCCCCTGGGACAAGTGTAAGCCTGCAGACACCAGGGTCGTTGGGTCCGTTTGAGGAATGAAAGCTGTAGGCGGTGCGTGGCAAGCTGACCCTGCCTTCCCGTCATTATTCTGCCTCACCAGGACGCATGCTGACCCTGATCACCTGCTGCTACAGATGCACGCCACAAGTTTGCGTGCGCATTGCACCTAAACAGTGTGACCTACTGTCTCTAATAGGAGGTATTTAGAGTGAAAGCAAGAGCGATGGGCTCTGCCTCAGACGGTCCTGGGTCAAAGTCCTACCAAAGAGCACCATGGATCTTAGATTATCTAATGTCTCTGTGCCTCACTTCTCCCATCTGTGAAATAGGGCAAGAGAAATATCCTTCTCCAAGGCAAGAGGACTGATGAAGCCTCTGTGGAAAAGTTGGCATTGGATGTGGGTGTTCAATGATGAGTGAAATGATGCTGAAAGGGTAGGGGAAAAGGACATTTTATGTAGAGAAAAGTGGGGGGAAAAAAAACCAACAAGCAGAGAGGAAGGAAAGAATACGGCTTGCTGCAGGAGCCCTGGGACCAGAAGACAGGGCGCTATGAGACTTGAGCTTTTCTCCAGAGGCACAGGAGCTGAGCGGACCCTACCAGCTCTTCCCCATTCTCACTTCCCTTCACAGCCAAGTTTCCAGACCTCACCTCCTCACTTCTCCCTGTTTCCCCATCACAGCACCCATGGGAAGGTCACCCTGACCTCTCAGTGATCAGGGGCTGTGGACACTTCCCTCCCTTTCCTTACCCCGCCTCTCTTGGCTATCAGTCCCTCTTGACCCCTGTTCCCTCTCAGCTCCCTGGCCCTCCTCCTGCCTCCCTGGCCAGGCCCTCTCCAGTCTGCTCTGTCCCCTTTCTCTCTGACTCCTGTGCCCTGGTGTCCCCCTCAGTGGGGCCCACCCTCAGCCCCCTGCCCCTGTTACTCCAGGAGCTCAGCCTGGGGGAAGCCTCCGCCACAGCCCCTGCCCCAGACACCAGCCCCGTGCACCTGACCACCTGGTCACCAAGTGTCCAAAACCCAGGTCACGCCAGCTTCAGCAAAATGAGGAATTTTTCGTAGACTACTTGAATGGGCCATAGAGCCTAAGGACCAGAATGAGGCTGGGCCTTGGGAATAATGGAAGCCATGGGCCTCAATAGGACAGGGGCTTTGTCCTATTGGTGGACTTTCCCACCCCATAACCTAGTCTAGCGCCAGGCACGGGGCAAGCCCTCCACACATACTTGATGAACCGAACCGGGCTTGCTGACAACCATCCTATCTGACTGAGTCACTCTTTTGCTTAAAATGTTCCTCAGCATAAATGGGTTTCTGTTGCCCTCAGTATAAACTCCGAATCTCTCAAGGCCCTCGTGAGGAGGCTGGAGGGGCCTCCGCCTCCCTACCCAGCCCCACCCTGGCCGCTCCAGCCTCCTGTGGGCAGCCTCCCCTGATTCCCTCTTCCTTGCATCTCTGGCCTGCTCCCCTCCCCTGCATCTCTGCTGCCACCTCACTGGGCAGCGGGGCCCAGTGTACCGGAGAGAATAAGACGCCTTATGAGTTTCCACCAAAACTGGCATCTAAGAGAGGAGGCTTGAAGTAAGAAGGACCTAAGTTAGGTTTACCAATTTGTATTTTGAGACTTCAGGATGCAACCCTAGAAATATTTCCTTTAATAAGGCTTGACCGCTGTCTTGATAGCAGGGCATCTGGAAGCCCAAATAAATGTTCCTAGGTGGCATGAGCCATTCATGAAGGCCAGCTCCCGTGCCTCCTCCAGGAAGCCATGCCTGGAAGCCATCTCTCCACCTTGGACTTCCCGAGCTCTTCCCCTGACCTCCCTCAGACCACTGGCCCCATTTCACCCCATACTGTGGTTGCCCGGGCCACACCTCCTCTCCCCATGAGGCTGTGCTCCTTGGGGGTGGAGATTGAGGTTTGGGCATGTTAGGGTCCCTGACAGCAGGGTTCACAAGTGGAGGACTGCAGCTGTCTCGGGATCACCCAGGGAGCTTCCTCAAAATACAGCTCCTGGGCCTAGTGCTGGGGCTGAGTCTGGCCCGGAGCCTGGGAGTCTGCATGAGAAGGCAGCCAGGCTTCTGCACCTCCGCCCCAGGGCTGGGACGTGAGAGGGTGCGTGAGAGCCAATGAGAGGACAGCGCAGGCTTGCTGTCGCCCCATGCAGGTTCGTGTGTGCCCAGCTGCCCAATCCCGTGCTGGAGAGCATCAGCGTCATCGACACTCCAGGCATCCTCTCTGGGGAGAAGCAGAGGATCAGCCGAGGTAAGCGAGGCACCGGCTAGGATTGGCTCTGGCCCTGTGCTGTGTTCTTTCTGGTATGTTCCCTTGCTTCCAGCCTATGAGATAGACCCCCAGTCCTTGCTGTACCTTGATGAGCTGGCACTGCTTCGTGTGCTATGTGGAACAATCCTAGGCAGGGGGCAGAGGACAGTTCGGGCCTCGCTTAGGAGATAGCTGGCCTCAGTCTTCTCATCTGTAAAAGGAGACATCAACATCTGGCTTACTTCATTGGGTTTATTCATTCTGCAAGAGGCACGACTGTGGGCCAGACCCTGGTTTGCTTCTGAAGTTCCCATAGTCCCCGGCCTGGGGAGCTTGCCGTCTGCAGGGAGGGCGAATGCCTGCAGAGAGCTTCAGCCCGGGAACGTGAGGATGGGAGCACACTCTGGGGTGGGAGAGTAGGGAGCTGGGTATGTAACAGCACTTTGAAAACTGTTCACCCCGGACAGATATGGGGCGACTGCTCACCGGGAGGTCGCTGGGCACGGCAGCGAGGAGACAGAACACGCGTGCCAGACGGCCAGCGAGCTAAGCCTGCCTCTGCCACGTCCTAGCTGAGCGAGCTCGGGCAGGGTTCTTTACTTCAGCTATGCACCCGTAAAATGGGGGGAATTGATTCTATCTACCTTCTAGGGTTGTTTGAGGATTAAATACAGGTACGCAGCAAGCTCTGCCGGGCACAGAGCGAGTGCTCAGTAAACCTGAGTAAACAGATCATCGTCACTGGTCTTTTCTAGCTCTAGAATGCTCGATGATGCTGTCCAAAACTCACGTCGGCTCCTGGCCGCCCACCCCAGCCTCTCCTGCCACACCTGCCGTGTGCCCCGGGTAGCCCCCTGCCCTTTCTGTGTCTCCGGCAAGCAAAGCAGGGAAGCCGCTCCCGCCCCAGTCCTGGAGCTAAGAGCTGGGCTGGAGCCAAGTCTGCATATGCAGAAGGCAGCCTCCGGGAACGAAGGGCTTGGGACTGGCAGGCTTCTCTGGGCAGTGGCCTTAGGTGACTGTCTACTGCCCTCCCGCATGGGCCTTGGCCCGCTGCGCTCTGCAGCCAGCCCAGATCTGTCCTGCGGCATGTCTGGGCCAGCGTGATGGGGCCCGGAAGCCCCCTCCTCCAAGGGCATGACCCGCATGGGCCGGCACCTGCTGAATCCCAGGCTCCTGGGCCCCAGGGAGGAAAGCCCACTGCCTCGCGGGCAACAGGCCAGTGCCCCCATGGCTGTGCCAAGGAGGCCCATGTGCCTCCTTGTGTACCGAGCTCGGCCCTGTGGGGGCCACCATGGCCGTGTGAGTGGGCGCAGCCAGGTCTGGCAGCGGGTAGATGGGGAAGACAGCGGGAGAGGCCCTCAGGTCTGCAGCCCGCTCCAGGGCCTGAAGACCCTGGTCTGTCCTGCAGCAAAGACAGAGCCGGTGCCTCAGGACCTCATTCAGCAGCAGGAGGGCCGAGGCCCCAGTAGGAAAGCCCTGCCTCCCCCGCCCCCCCCATTTCACTGAGGAGGTGACACCTGGGACAAGGGGGGGAACAACGGCAGCCAGGCAGGAGGGGCCCGTATTACCACACCATGTAATCAGCAGATATCGATGGAGGGAGTCTGGGGAGCCTGGGCTCAGGCTCCCTACCTCTGGGCTGTCTGGCAGTGCAGGGGCTGAGGAGGAGCTTGTCTGAAGACCTAGAACCCACGGCCCTGGGAAGAGAGGCTCACCTGCTCTCTCCTCCGGGCCTTCGTGAGCCCCGCGGTGCTCAGTCCAAGCCCTGTGGAGAGGAGGCTTGGGCGGCTCTCTGTCTGGCTTCTATGTGTTTCCCTAAACACTCCCTCCCTCCTTACCAGCCCCTCCCCGCCGCCACCCCAGTTTCATCGGGGGTTCCCCTGAGTTTAGGCCTGAAGGAGCTTCACTGTTTCACACTGGCGGCCTGGGTCTCCTCAAGGAAGGCTCAGGAGAGCCACAACTTCTCAGTCTGAACCGCCTGGGGGTCAGGAAGGAGCCGGGGGTGGGGGTCACATCATGCAAGGCCATGCAGCCTGACAAGTGGGTCCAGAGAGGACTCCGGCCTCTAGGGTATTTTAGAACTAGGATGGGTCCTAACAGGTCACATTTTCTCCCTGAGCCTGTGTCCCCTTGTGTGACAAGGGTTAATGATACCCATCACATGACCTCGTGAGGTTTACAGATGGTAATGAAAACACAGACATCAGCTCTGGGCCTGGATCACAGTGAGCTCCCTTCTTTCCCCATTATCTGCCAGCCAGGGCTGCCTGTTAAACACTGCCGGGGTGATCTATGTGAATGGCCTCCCTTGCGGTTGTACAGTGCACGGCCTGTGCAGCTGTATGTGGCAGCCCTGCTTCCAGGGACATCTGCCCTCCTCAGCTCCTGTGCCGTTCCATTCTTTTCCTATTCTTGTATGTTCTCTCCTGCTTTCATCTTTGGACCTCGGGGGCTGCCCTTGGCAAAGTTGGTTGCTTGGTTTTCTTGCCTGTCCTTCCTATCCCTTCCTACCCCACACTGACCTCTAGAAGTGATGGCCCCATGAATGGTTACATAAGCCAGTTTGTTCTCTGCCTTCCTGAGTTCGTACTATAAATGCAGCTGCTGACAAAAGCCGCCTGTGATGAAAACCAGAGCGGGGAGCTGGGCACTGGCACCGTATCGCCAGCCTGGGGCAGTGCTGCCCTCCGCACTCCAAGGAGCCTAGGAATGGGAGGGCGTCGGACACCCTCAGATATCAGGAAAGTTTCCGGTGTGCAGAGCCTCTCCCATCCTTGCTCACAATCAGCCATAGGACCTAGTAGTTCCAGTTTCTGCCTACACACATGTATACCTTCTCATCTACACATACCCACACCCCCTCCGACCCCACCACACACACACAAGCGAGTGCACGGAAGCAAACGCTCTCCGTATGGCTTCTTGCCTGGGGCCCTCCAAGCTCTGGGTTTGGCTGCACCACAGATATGGTGCTTCATACCCCCCAGCCAGCTCAGGACAGGACAGGGCCCCGTGGGGAGTCCGGCAGACTGGGCACTGCACAAGATCACCAGGCGGAGAGGCGCGTAGAGCCTGAAATCCAGCCCACGCTCCATCCACTGAGCTTCACACCAGGTACAGTGCTGTGTCACCAGCAAAAAGGGGCCGCATTATCAAATCTGCACAGAGCTTTCTCTGGCCTGGTGGGCCCAGGGTGCCACATGCTGGAAAGTGAGCTGTTCCCGAGGGCTCTCCAGGCCTCAGGCTTCAGGAGGAAGGAGCCCTCCAGCCCTGGGCTAGAGCTGGAAAAAGTGTGGTCCTTTCTCAGGGTGTGGCCTCTCCGCCCAGGCCTGGGGCGAGGGGGCGGTTAGGGGGAGAGAGGAAGCAGGGGACATCCGGGAACCTGAGTCCAGGAGGTCCCAGGCCAGCACATGTCTCTGGATAAAGATGCACTGGGACGGGCAGCAGAGGGGCAGGGAGCCAGTTCCTGGAAGTGACAGGATGTGCCCAGCCCCGGCCTCATTACTGGGAAGAAGCAAGGATGCAGCCGAAGTGGGAGGGCTCCGGAAGCCTGAGTGTCCTCACACTTGGGAACCACATTTCCTGGCTCCTTCTCAGCTGGAAATCCCCACAGGCCCCACCTAGAAAAGCCACCCCTTGGGCATGGAGCTCACATCCCTCCAAGGGGACCCCTTCCTGTACAGGTGAGCTCAGCGGGGCCACAGCAGGTAAAACCCACGCCCAGGCCAAAAGCTGGAATGGGAACTCAGGTCTCCTGATTCCCAGTGTAGCGGCTTTTGAGCATATTATCATCTCCTGCTCAGGAAGAGCGCAGGGAGTGGAAAGGGGGCAGACTCTCATCTGCAGTTCCCTTGGGGGGACCTCGGAGGGTCTGGGCTGGTCCTTACAGCCTCATGTCCCTGGCCCGTCCTTGGACTCTGACCGGAGCGGGGCCCGCACTTAGGGACGTCTGGGCCCCAGAGTTACACTGCCCACATGTGGCTCTGTGGGGGGCATCGCGCGGGGCCGAGCAGCCGAGTCCTGACACCCGTCACAAGGGCTCGCCGGCAGCCTCGTGGTCCTCGGAGGCCTGTGCGGAGTCTGCCCGGCCGCTTTCAAGGTTACCTCTAGGAGGCACACAGTGTGACATCTATTCCTCCTTGTCATCTGAATCCTTCCCACATTTTGAAAATTGAAGCACTCTTATTTCTCTTTTGCTAAGATGTCTTTAAATCTCAAAAGAGATCTTTGGGGACGAGATGGGACCTTTCATGCGCTCAGTCCTCTGAGCTCCAGCCTCACACGTGGCTCTGTCTAAGAAGGGAGTGTGGACAGGAGGCAAGGGCCTGGGTTCCAGTCCCGCCCGTGTGAGCTTGGCCAGCCCCGAAGCTCTCTGTCCCCTCCCTGCCCTGTAAGATGTGTGTGCCCCGTGTACCTCCTGGCAGGCGGACACTTAGGAGGCTCAAATGGATGGTGTGGCTGAACATACAAAGAAATATGCTGTCAGCTCTCTTGTATTTCACTGCAGACTGCAGGAAGCCCGTGGGTGATTGAGGAGTTGCCTTGCTTATTGTGCTTGTCTCATTGATTTCCTCCTGCCTGGCATTACTTAGAAATGCTTTCTTTCCTGTCCTCTGGACCCTGGGGGTTAGTGGGGAGAGCCTCAGATCCCGCAGTCTGCCTGGTCTCTGGGCCTGATGCCTGCAGATCAGATCTCTGGGCGCTAGCAGACTGGCTACCCATCAGCCCAGGGATTCCGGGACGGCCAGCTTCGCCGCTCATTCTCTTAGGGCTTGAGTCTCCCTCCAGCTACGAGTTCATATGTCATGGGCCCTTGCGCTGCTGCAGGTGCTCAGGAGCTCCTGCTGGGGGGTCTCAGAGCCATTCCGGAGACCATGTCAGGGAAGGGGGCCTGTCACCCTGGAATTTAGGGCAGAGCCTCCAGACTGATCCAAGCCCTCCCTCTACTCTTAGATCCTATTGCCATGGGCTCTACCACTGACCCCTTGTTGGTCAGGTGTTATTCTCCCCATTTTACAGCTGAGAAAACCAAGGTTCAGATTTGCTAAGGCCACACAGAGAGTAAATGAGAGACCTAGTCCCATGCCCTTTTCCAGCCCGGGCCTTTCAGATGCTCCCATTCCTGGTTGTGCATAAGCCCAGTCCCGAGACAGTCACCTGTCCTGGAGGATGCTAGGTTCTGAACAGCTGGGCGCAGGAGGCTGAGCTCCACAGGAAGGCCACGCCCTCACTGCTCGATCCTCAGCGTCCTCACAGCCAAACCTGGGGAGAAGGCGCCTGGCGCTGCTAACTTCGTGATTGGATAGCACCTGTCAGAGCATGCAGAATTCACAAAAGCGGGAAGGTGAATGGGAGGCCTCTGGGCTTATAAAATCCCCGAAAATCTTCCCAGAATTGTCCGCCTGTCCTCAGTCCCCAGAGCAGACTTCACACAGGCACCCCAAGGTGAAGACAGAGGCCCACCCCCAGCCTCCTATCTCCCTGTCCTGCAATGGCTTCCTTGTGTGTCCCCAACTTCCATCCTGCTGTGCTTTCCGCCCTCCACCTCTAGTCTTAGAAGGAGGGAGAAGAGAAGCTCAGAGATCTTCCAGTCCAACCCCCCTGCTTTGACAGGCAAAGAGACCAAGGACCAGAGACAGAAGGCTATTTGCCCAAGAACACACAGCTAGTTAACGGCCGACCAGAAACCCAAAGTGGGCTTCCCAGGCCAGTGCTCCTCAGGTGACCACTTCAGAGCACATCCTGAGTACACCGAGGGGCACCTCCCCCAGGCAAGGGGACAGGAAAGGGCAGGGGGCGGTGCTGCTTTTGCCCCTCCCACCCCAAATTGCCCCCACTCCCCCTCAAGCCTTGGCAGCTGAGCCCCTTCTTGCATGGCTGGTGCCATCAGGGAGTGGAGAGAGTTGGGGTTGGGGGGAGCCTCTTTTCTCCACAGCTTCTCTGGCCTCTTTGCTTTCCTGAGCCCGTGGAGGGGTGGTAAGAGGGCCTGACTCGGGATGGGGGGGACATGAGCTCTGATCTGGTTCTGCCCCCTCCCGCCACACAGCCATGTGCACTCTCTGAGCCTCCCCTTCCTTGTTGGTAAAGTGCCAGGCTCCGGCCGCCCAGCCAGTTAGGACGGGCTGCTCTGGGCTGCTTACAGGGGCAGCAGCATGCTCTCGGGGCCGCCCCACCGGCGGCCTGCACACCACAGCCACAGTCCTGTCACACCAGACTGGGGAATGAGCCCTGCTACCCTCCCCAGCTACCAAGGAAGGCAGGCCTGCTGGGTCTGGGCTCCAGAGTAGCGAAGCTGTGGCCTGCTTCCCAGGGTGGGGCTTGGGGCAAGGGAATCGGGTTGTCCTGGGTCTCTGAGCCCTCTGGCCCCACTCCTGCCCACAGCTCTGAGGGACTGCCTTTGGGAGGTGAGAGCAGCCCTCCACCTGGCTGGGCTGAAGGGAAGAGTAAAATAGCCAGGCCTGGGAGGGAGGGGCAGAGGGGAGCAGGGAAGGGGGTGCAGGCAGCAGGCTCACCTGAAGCAGGAAGGCACAGGCCTCCTGGACTCTGGGAGAGGCTAGCTGGGCCTGGGCCGAGGGCAGGGCAGGGCAGGGCAGGGAGGCAGGGAGGTGGCCAGGTGCAAGACAGCTGTCCTCCGGCCTGCAGGGAGCCCAGGGCCCAGGTGGTCCCGTCCAGTCCTGGCCCCTGCCCCTCAGTGGCTATTTGACTGTCACCTCATCTCTGAAGCTGTTTCCTCCTCCGGAAAGTGGGAGTGGCACTCCTCACCCTGCCTATCTCACAGGGGGCTGTGGGGGTGAACGTCTTGCCAGCCGGAGCAAGCACTGAACTTGGGGTTGGAGAGCTGGGTACCGTGCTCCAGCGGCTGCCTCCTATAAGCAGGGTGGTCTTGGCTGAGTCACGGTGCCACAGTCTCTCGGTGGCACTGACCCAGCCCCTACCTCGTTGCTGGGCACAGCCTGGCCCTGAAGCACTTTGCTGAGCCCCGTCCCTGAATGGTGAGGGCCCCTCCGCCTGAAGAAGAAGACTGCATGGGAACAATGATGTGAACAGCAACTACGTGCTGGGCTCCGAGTGTATCTGGTCCTTAGAATTCCATGAATTAGGCGCTGTTAGTGTGCCCATCTATAGGTGAGGGACCACTGGCTCAGAGACACTGAGTAACAAGTTCAAGGTCAAATAGCAAGCATGTGGAGGCGCGGGGATTGGAACCCAGCTCTGACTCCCAAGACCGAGTTCTGTGCACGGCGCCTGGCTGCCTCTGCCCGAACCCCTCCCTGTGCCCCGAGCCCCCCCCCCACTCCTGACCGTCCCTCTGCCACAGGGTACGACTTCGCGGCTGTCCTGGAGTGGTTCGCCGAGCGGGTGGACCGCATCATCCTGCTCTTCGACGCCCACAAGCTGGACATCTCTGACGAGTTCTCTGAGGTCATCAAGGCCCTCAAGAACCACGAGGACAAGATGCGGGTGGTGCTGAACAAGGCGGACCAGATCGAGACGCAGCAGCTGATGCGGGTGTATGGCGCCCTCATGTGGTCCCTGGGCAAGATTGTGAACACCCCGGAGGTGATCCGGGTCTACATCGGCTCCTTCTGGTCCCACCCCCTTCTCATCCCCGACAACCGGAAGCTCTTCGAGGCGGAGGAGCAGGACCTGTTCAGAGATATTCAGAGTCTGCCCCGAAATGCTGCCCTGCGCAAGCTCAACGACCTCATCAAGAGAGCCAGGCTGGCCAAGGTGAGGCTGTCCCCCCGGGAGATGTGCAGGTTGGGGGTGGGAGGGTCAGCTGCGAGAGTGGGGGGCCGCCACCCGCAACCCTGAGCCATCGCCTGCCTGCCTGACAACGTCCTCAAGCCCCTGCTTCGTGGGCACGAGCTGTGCCCACTCGGGCAGCTGGGGGCAGGATAGCCTGGTGGTTATGGTCACAGGCCCTGGTGTCAGGTGGCCAGGTTGGAGCCCTCCTCCACCGTTCTCGAACTGTGGATCCCGGCCCTGGGAGGTCTCTCTGTGCCTGTCTCCATGGCTCTACAATGAAAGGGTGGGAGGACAGAGTAAAATAAGGAAAGGAGCAGCCTCCATCACAGTGCCTGGCATCCTCAGAGTGCTCTGGAAATGTTAGCTGTCGTAGTCATCTTCCTCCTCACCAACCCCATCAGCAGTATTACCATCCCTAGTACTGCCTTTTACCTTAACCTCCCCGTAATCTCGCTCTTCCCTTGTGATCTAGGAAAACAACTCCCCGCTGGAAGCGACAAGCGAGGGCGAGGGGGTGAAATAGGAATGACTGCAGAAGTAACAGCAGGAGGGATTCGTGGGAAGAGATGGGTGAGAGCCACACCCTGGAGGGAAGGAATGGATCCGAAGTTTTCTCTCTGCCCCTGTGTGTCAGGTTCACGCGTACATCATCAGCTCCCTGAAGAAGGAGATGCCATCGGTGTTCGGAAAAGAGAATAAGAAGAAGGAGCTGGTGAACAACCTGGCTGAGATTTATGGCCGCATCGAGCGGGAGCACCAGATCTCCCCTGGGGACTTTCCCAACCTGAAGAGGATGCAGGTAACTGGGGCTCTGGGGCTCCAGGGCAAGGGACAATGTCATGCGAGCTGGCCGAGTGGCCTGACAATGGAGAAGGCCAGTCTTGGCTGCCCCAGATAGAAGCTGACCCAGAATTCGAAGGCAAGGAGATGGCCCCAGGTCTGCCCTCCCTGCTGGATGGCCGGTATCCCAGCAGGTGTCATATCTGGGCCCGGGGAGAACACAAAGCCCCAGTGCTCCCAGTGAGACAGGGGCATCCATGATGTTTGGGGCCTGACACCTCCGGTGTAGGACCTCTCCCCCATCATGGCCACCACAGGCTTGGAGTCCCCAGGAGGCCATGTGAAATGGGAGGGTCTCCAGACCCTCAAGTGCTTACGTCTACTCCTGAGCTCCCACTTGGGAGCAATCTGGGACACAAGCCACAGAGAAGCAGAAGTCTGCACAGGAGCTTGTCATCTTAGGGATACACCATGGGCCTCTGTCTTGGGCCAGGGGCCGTAACGCCTGGTTTCTCATGTTATTCCCCAAAGCAGTCCTCTGAGGGAGACCTTTTCATCCTCCTTTTACAGATGAGCAAACTGAGGTTTACAGAGGTAATTAACCTTTGTAATTAATTGCTGGCAGTTTTCTGAGAGTGGTGTTCACACAGGCTGCTAGTAGAAGAGCCTCCCGGCTGTCCCCACAGCCCAAGCAGAAAACTACCACACCATACTAACTAGATCCTCTCTGAACCTCTGTCTCTTCTTCTGTAGTCTGAGGCTCCAGAAGCACCCAGCTTTATAGATGTTATGAGCATCCATGCGATAATGTTTGCAAGGTGCTTAGCACAGAGCCTGGCATGGGCTCTGCTCTTAAAATGCAGCGTCCAGTTAGGTAAGACGTCACCCCTGGGGGAAGCTGACTGATGAACACCGGGGACCTACCTGTGTGCACAATCTTTGCAACATCTCATGGTTCTATAATTATTTAAAAAGAAAAAGTTTCTAAGAAGTAGGGAATTGTTTAAGAATAGCAGCAGATGTAGTAGTAATATTGTTTGTGCTCCTGCTGCTGATTTTGATCTTGGGCTTGGGAACTTGTTTCTCAGTGTAAGACTGGGGGTTCAGAACGTCAGTGTACTTGCAAATAGCCCTTTTTAGTTTCCTATGTGCTAAAAGAAAGAGAAAACAAATAGGCGTTCAAAGTACACATTTGTCCATGTATCCATTGATTCCCGTAACCACTTACCAGGAGCCAGTTACTGATTTCAGAATCACTTGAACATAATTCAGGTTTGCCCTTCAGCTGTGGTTTACAGTATTTCCCACTTTTAGCCTCTCTTCCTGTTAAGAGTGTCATGATCTGCAAGCCAGCATTTGAGAAGATAACATTTGAAAGGGCCCATCCAGGGCGCCTGGGTGGCTCAGATGGTTAAGCGTCTGCCTTCGGCTCAGGTCATGATCCCAGGGTCCTGGGATCGAGTCCCGCATCAGGCTCCCTGCTAGGCGGAGAGTCTGCTTCTCCCTCTGCCTCTGTCTGTCTCTCTCTCTCTGACTCTCATGAATAAAAAATTAAAACATTAAAAAAACCCCAAAATAATAAAAGTAAAAAAAAAAAAAAGAAAGGGCCCATCCGACCCCATTTCTAATGTGAGGAAGGAATCCTTTCGCATCATAAATGATTTCACCTTCTCATCTGTTTGCCAGTCCCACGGTAGGATCTGTTGTTAGGGACGCTGAACCAGTCATGTAAATGCCCGTCCTGGCGGGGAATGTGTGGGGTGATGGGGTTACTCACCGCGCCCCCTGGAAGACATTAGGATGCCTGTTTGGGAGCCCACCAAACACACCTAGCTGTGGACGGGCTGGGACCTTGGGAGGTTATGCCCGGAGGGCAGGAGGAAGGGCTTTTCTGCTCCTGCCCTGCACACCCCCACCCTCCAGCCCCCACTCCCCTCCCAGGATCGGCCCTGCCTTGGAAGGGAGGTGAGAAATGCAGAAGCTAACACTCGCTCTTGAAATTCAGCTGTGGGTGTTTTCTGAATTTTTCTGCAGTGAACTCGATGTGCTTGTCCCTGAGGCTTCTCCTGTGCCCAGGAACCACCTTGGATAAAGCAGAGAAACGCACAAGCCCTGCTCTCAGAGAACAAAGCATTCAGGAACCACCCTTCAGTAGCCAAAACTAGCTAAAGAGACATTTAATTATTTTCTAGAACATTAAAGGGAATCCAGATAAATGGAGCAAACCAGTATTTGTTCAATTTCCTTTTCTTCCCCAGCCCCTGCACCTGTTCTCTCCTGCAAAATTCCACCCAGAGCCAGTGTGCCTTTTTTTCTCCTCCTCTCTCACATCTTCCAGTATTTCATTATTTTGTGATCGGCTTTTTAGCCTCCAGAGCTGGGAACATTCCAGCATTCACAGAAGGCAGCGTCCCCAGCAAGGGGAAGGCTCTCCTTCCCTGGTCTTCTACCCCCACTTTCTTTTCTCTCCCTCTCCCCAGGACCAGCTGCAGGCCCAGGACTTTAGCAAATTCCAGCCCCTGAAAAGCAAGCTGCTGGAGGTGGTGGATGACATGCTGGCCCACGACATTGCCCAGCTCATGGTGCTGGTGCGGCAGGAGGAGACGCAGCGGCCCGTCCAGATGGTGAAGGGCGGAGCGTTCGAGGGCACCCTGCACGGCCCCTTCGGGCACGGCTACGGGGAGGGTGCCGGGGAGGGCATTGATGACGCCGAGTGGGTGGTGGCCAGGGACAAGCCCATGTACGACGAGATCTTCTACACCCTGTCGCCAGTGGACGGCAAGATCACAGGTGCCAATGCCAAGAAGGAGATGGTGCGTTCCAAGCTGCCCAACAGCGTGCTGGGCAAGATCTGGAAGCTGGCTGACATTGACAAGGACGGCATGCTGGATGACGAGGAGTTCGCACTGGCCAACCACCTCATCAAGGTCAAGCTGGAGGGGCACGAGCTGCCCAATGAGCTGCCCGCCCACCTGCTGCCCCCATCGAAGAGGAAAGTGGCTGAGTGATGGACGGAGGAGGTTCAGGGCAGGCAGGGGTTCGAGGAGATGGGAGAGGAGGAGACGCACATACACACACACACACACACACACATATGCACACACTCGCACACGCAGATCTTGAGAACTGCACTGCAGCTGAGAGGCGCAGGGTCCCCCAGGCTTCCGGTCTGGTCTTTGGACACATCTCCAAGTTCTCGGTATTGGTAGAAGCAGAGGAGCGCTCCCAGGGCCCCAGGTTCAAGCCCAGATCTCCATGCTTCTTTCCTTCCCATCTCCCACCACCCGGAGACCTGCCTTCTCCCACAGAGGCAGTTCGCTCGCCCATGGGTGGCCCACCCGCCTCCACATTCCTATGCTCAGAGCAGAGGGAAAAGGCTTCTCGCTTAATCGGCACTGCATTGTTTTCAGTGCTGTCTCCCCCTCTTTGGCTTCCCCATGGGAAGCAGTGCTCCAGGGCTGAGAGATGCGAGGGAAGGGGCTGCTGCAGGGGGCAGGGGTGGGGGGCTGTAGAAGGAAGCATCCTTGGCTGGGTCCCGGACTTGAAGAGACATGGCCCTGAGCTCTGTGCTTCCTCAGGCTCAGACTCCGTCTGCCAGCGCAGACCAGTCCTTGAACCCTACCCCTACTTCATGTCAAAGAATCCCAGACCCGGAGAGAAAAGAGAACAAATTAGCAGGGAAGAAGGCAAAGAAATTGCCCGAAATCCTCAACTCAAAGCCAGTCCAAGTGGCTTTGTTCCACAGATTTTGTGAGGTTCATGTTTTTCTCACCCAGCCCTGATGCTCAGACCCTTCTGCCATTGATCCAGCCCCTCCCATGTGCCGGGAGCTGTGGGGGGCGCTTCACATACATTATCCCATTTGGCCCTCACCAACCCCCTAGGAGGTAAGCCTCAGTCCCGCCCACTTTGCAGATAAGGAGCTTGAGACTCAGAGGAGTTGAGGTGACCTTCCCAAAGTCACAGAGGTCACATGCAGTAGACAGAGGATTCAGAGCCAGAGCCTCAGACCCTTCCTTCTGCTGTGGCCACGCGTGCAGGATCCCAGCATTGCTAGCCATTGCTAGCCACCGCCGCACCACAGGGAACAAGCTGAGCATGCGGGGCACACCTCAGCCTCCCAGGGCAGGCTGCTGAGGGAGGAGGGCCAGCCGGCACTTGGTGCGCCATCAGTCTGGCCATCTGTCCCATCACAGAAGCAAACCGTGCCATCTGGCTACGCAGCCCACGTTCCTAAAATCACAGAAGTCCGACAGCGCCACCGGGAGAGCGGGCTGGCCTGCCAGAGGCTCTTGGCGCCTGAATCATCCCAGCTCAAATGCAGCCACTGGCTCTCATCGCGTGGGACCTCGTGCCAGTTCTCAGAAGGCTAGCGTGAGGGGTCTGAGGTCTGGTCCCTGGCAGGAGCCCCGGCGACTCGGCAGCGTCCTTGGCATACCCCAGCCATTCTCGGTGCCCTACGCCCTCCTTCATGGTCTCTCCCTTGGCTTGCTTTGTGGCCACTGAACCAATCACTTTGTATGCTGTACTCCTACTGTGATGGAAAATAGAAACAAGTATAACTTATTTTATATCTATGTTCAGACTATATAGAGAATATTCTGTGTATCTATGATATGCTTACTACTGCAGTGCATTTGTCATTAGGATTCATGTTAATACAGCACATTTATCCTTTGGTACCTGCTTGGCCACAGAGCATCATTCCGAAGGAGGCTGAGGGGGGCCGAGGGAAGGAGGCTGGGTTCTTACTTGGGGCTCTTGGTGACATCTTTGGAGGATCGGGCTGCCTACAACCAGCGTCCATACACAGCATCCCATTGGCCTGATGCCTCCAGGCCAAGGAGCTCTCCAGGCTGACCTCATGGAACCACCACTTCCTACCACTCTGGAGCGGAGAGGATCCCCAAACCTCTGGGCTTGCTTCTGCACCCACAGGGTTCTCTTTCTCATGAAATGAAGGGGCAAGGGAAGACCAAGGCAAAAAGGTCTCACGTCCCCTAAGCTGAGTGCTAAGTCCCGCAGAGGGACCGTTTCTCAGCTCCCTGCCATTCTTTGAGATGAAGGAGACAGCAGAGGGATGACGTTGCTGTCTCTTTAGTGTAGAAGAAAGGGGTGTCCGTTGGGTGCCCTCGTGCCACCACCGCCTGGACACGTGCCACGTGCCGCTTCCTGCCCCACATGCCCCTGCCTCTCTTCCCTCGCCCTTCAAGACTCCAGCCCGGAGAGATCTGCAAGGCACGGGAATGTATGTTGGCAATTTTCCCATCTCCTGAGGAAGAGGAAGTGGTGCTTGAGGCTCCTCTCAACAGGTGAGGGAACCATGGAGGGACACTTCCTCTGGGGCTGTCCCTCCGGCTCTTGCTACCTCAGCCTCCTGACCTCTTACAGGCTTTGGGGACCTGGGAGTCGATCATGCCCCTGCCTGGAAAACATCTAGTGTAGAAAGCAGGGACCCAGCAGGGCGGTTTCACAGGCAGGAATCCCTAGAGACTCCACTGTCCTATGGCTCCTTCCCCCACACTACTCAGTTTGGGCCACAGAAACCATCAGATAAGAAGAGCAACACCCTTCACCCCTACCCCAGCGAATTTTGGCCCTGCTGCCTTCGAGTTAAACCATGACCAAAGTCTAGCTGTATACAGGTGCAGGGGACATGGCGGGCCACGGCTGGCCACGGCAGGGCCTGGGCCTCAGTTGGCAGAGTGGTGAGAAGTTGCCTTGCATCGCCCCACTTCCATCTGTCCCCTCTGTTCCAAGAGCCTGTATTTCTGCATTGGGTGGTCAGAATCAGCAGAGCTATCTGGGGAGACGAGGCTTGCTTCTTTTCCCTAGGAGAGGTTAACTGACTCTCTACATATTCAATCCTTTATTCTTTCATTTGTCCATCCATCCATCCATCCGTCCATCCATCCATCCATCCATCCATCCTTTCTTTTACTCAGAAGACACTGAGATACTCCTTCAGGAAAGGCCCTAAGGTAAAGACAGAGATTCATTCTTTGACCTACTCAAAAATACTTAGTAAATGCCATCTGTGTAGCAGGGACAATTCTAGATGGATCAAATCAAGTTCTGGCTCTCAGAGAGCTAATGGGGGAAGTGAGGCATTTATACAAAGGTCGATCATGCAATGAGGGACCGGGCCAGGATGGGGGGGTGTGGGAGGCACAGGCAAAGTAGGGACTCAGGAGAGCAGATGGCTTCCAGCTGGGGAGGAGGTGGTCAGCGCAAGCCTGGGTGAGGCACTCGGGCTGAACCCGAGAAACCACCTGGGTTACGCCTCCTGTGCCAATCACCTTCTCTCCCTAATTCAAGAAGGATAAGCAGGGCTTCTATACAAAAGTAAACACGCAGCATTCCCAGCCCACAGAGTCATGACAGACTGAGAACCACAGATGTATTTGAGGAAAAGTATGAGGAGAATTTTGCCTCTGGGGACCATGCCTGGTTTTTCACAGGCCATTTTCTTTCTTTCTTTTTTTTTTTTAATTTTATTATGTTAGTCACCATATAATACATCATTGGTTTTTGATGTAGTGATCCACGATCCATTGTTTTCGTGTAACACCCAGTGCTCCATGCAGAACGTGCCTTCTTTAATACCCATCACCGGGCTAACGCATCCCCCCTCCCCCTCCCCTCTAAAACCCTGTTTGTTTCTCAGGTGCATAGTCTCTCATGGTTCATCTCTATAGCCATACCACCCTGAACGCGCCCGATCTCGTCTGATCTCGGAAGCTAAGCAGGGCTGGGCCTGGATAGTACTTGGATGGGAGACACAGGACATTTTCAAGTAAAAATAGTATCCATATCTTTGAAGCTGTACTTGTCAGGGCCTGAAGGGAAATGGTAATGGGGGAATGTTGAGTGGCCCCAGCTGGAGTGACAGGGAACCAGGACGGTGTAAGGGGTATGGTGCAGGGGGCATGGCTCTCCCTTCCACCTTCCAGCAGAGGTAATCAGTGCTGTTCACCGCAATTTGGTTCTCTGGTCCCTTCAGCACAGGGATGACTACAGTTCTGCCCCCTTGACTCTAGGCGAGCTGGGGGACTTGCTTTGGTTAGTGAAACATGAGTGTCAGCAAATCCTTTCGTCCTTTCCTTGCCAGAAATGAGTGTGTGGTTTGCCACACTCTGTTTTTCCTGCCTCACCAAGAATGCATTTGGGAGCAGGTGTGAAGGTAGAGCTGTGGTCAGCCCAAGGCCCTGGGGCACTCTGAAATCCAGGCCACATTGGACAGGTGGCAGGAACCAGGTGTCAGCCCTGGTGGTGTTAATGCTAAACCCCTGATGGTTGTGGGCTATTGATCCCGCAGCATAACCTAGACTATCGTGACCAAAATACTATCACGACTAAAGTTCTTCCAATAGTTGAGTCCCCTGAGTGGGTGTAAAGGAAAGAAAGCCTGGGAGACTGAGTTCCTGCCTTCTTAATGACCAAGGTTGCCTGAAGCTGAAGGCATGTGAGATTTGCACAAGGACCTTCATTGTCTGAGCCATGTTCTGCAGCGTCTCAGAACATCACTGATGGCCCTTCCATGTGGCTTTTTAGGCTGGGGAACTTGGCATGAATGGAGTCAAATACGGATGGGACTTACTTTTCTCCTGTGATGATACAGATACCGGGGATTGACTGAGCATGTGTCTGCCTAGAGCTGAACAGATGGGGTACAGCTTGGACAAAGAAACACTGCAATTCCCAGACCCCCTTGCAACCAGGTTCAGGGTGTGATTTTAGGTCCTGCCAACCAGACATACCCATGGGAGAGTTTGCTGAAGCGGACCATGCCAGAGGCAGACCCGGTAGCTAATACAACAGCTTCCCCAGCTTCGCAGCTTACTTTCTGTGCTCAAGAAGCTGGAAGCCTTGTTTGTGAGGTCAGATGGAGCAGTGGGCTGCACCAGGAAGCAGCACGGGAAATGGCCACGTGCCACCTTGTGTCTGCCCACATAAGCATGCTGCCTGAGCACCACTGTGATGTGCAGAGGGGGCCCGGGCTGCAGCAGGGGAGGCTCCCTGGAGGGTGTGTGTGTGTGTGTGTGTGTGTGTGTGTGTGTGTGTGTTGCGAGGATGTGTTGAAGTGGGTCTTACCAGGTAAGTGAGGAGGAGAGGGTATGGCAGGGCTCCCCAGAGGGACTGATGGCTGGGGAACTTTCAAAGTAATAATCCCATTTCTAAGCATCCAGAGGCTATAAGTGTCTGCACTTACAACACTTGAGACTATAGAATAAGGAAACATCAAAAATAGCAGTTGTGTCTCCTCACTCAGAATTTCACGAGGGGCAGGTCCACACCCCTGCCCCGTCCCCTGGGGTAGAACTGTGGCCTGAGGCCAGGTCAGCCTGGAGCTGATTGGGGATGCTGGCTGCTTGAATTCTAGCTCAGGACAAGGTGTGTGGCCTCAGGGCCTCCATTTATTTTCCCTCTAAGTGGGGCGTCATCTCCATCTTTTGGAGTTTTGTGAGGATGCTGACAGAGGGGAAAGTTCACCAAGAACATAAACACCACACATGTGAATTCTGTTGGGGTAGCTAGAAGAGGCTCAGCTCTGGGAAGAGGTGAGAATCCAATCTACCTCTTCCCAGAGCTGTGCCTGGAAAGGCACAGAAGAAAGAGTGTGGAAGATCCAGGAAGAGCAAGCGTGCCTGAATACCCCCGCCCAGGGGGTATTCTCTGTGGGCACCTGCAGGCCCTGGCCCACTGTGGCCCCTACACAGCCCGGAGTCCCTGCCTGGCCTCCCAGCCACCATGAGCTCGTGCTGACAGCGGACTTGGAACCCACAAGAAGCACCCATTGGGGTGGGTTTGGGGGGAGGGTGGCTACACAACAGCCTGGGTCCAATGCAGACCACCTGAGACTTTCATAGGCATTAGCAGATCCTTCGATGTCATGAAAGCATGACCCAAATGGCAAATGTTTATCTTCATCCATAAAGTCTCAGACTCATACTGTTGTGTAAGGTGAAGGCTCCTTTTCTCCCAGCCAGGGTCTTGTCTGTCATAGCATCTCTCAATCCCTGTCTGAGTAGCAAAAGCCAGCTCAGTGTAGAGAGATGACCCTCACCGCACCCCGATCCCATCTTGGCTTAGGACTGGGATTTGGTTCACCTTTGAGAGAATCGCAGAAATGCTGGCTCAGTGATGACCCTGGTGAAATCAGGCCTCCTTTCTCCAAGGCCACTGTCTCTTTCATCCCCGTTCCTCCTGCTCTCCTTCCCACCCCCATCCCAGGAGGCCAGAGGCCAGAGGATCTCCCTTCCCCTGACTCCACTGACCAGCGATGCACGCACGCACACATGCACACAAGCATACAAGAACACACACACACACACACCATTCCCGTCACACATGTCTCCCCATCCCACGGAGATGGGTCTCACTATGCTGATCTGAGGAACCAAGAGTCTGCTTGTGTGACCATGCTGTTGTGTGATCCGATGCTGTTGCCACGACTCTGGTCACAGGTAAGTCACAGCAAGGAATGAAACAGAAGCCCTGTGGAAGAGGGTCCTGGTAGCCCGCCAGAGAAGAAGGGGAGTGGTTCACGGTCAGGCAGGTGTCGGGCCAGGCCACCAGGCAGGCACCTGCTCACATGCGGGCAGCCTGGCCCTCTGGATCTTATCTGCTTCCTAAATGCCTGCACAGCTTTCTCGGCAGGATGAAGTAACTCCCCTCATTC